GAGCCCCCCGACACCGGGGAGGTGCCCCCCTGTGCCACGTCTCTTTACCTGAGCTGCTGGGGAGCGCTGCCTCCTCCCCCCCGTGCAGGAGACGGCCAGGGTGCCCGCAGCTCGCTGCAGCCCCTCCCCGTGCGGCTGGACGTGGGGTTTTTCACGTCCCCCTCGACTCCTCCTCCCTCCCCTCAGCTCCGGGGACGGGCGCTGAGGCTTTTTGGCCACTTCCAGCGTGGCGCCCGGCCACGTGCTGCCTGTGACACCCTGGGAATGTGTCCTGGCAGTGCCAAGGCTGGCCGGGGGGAGGAGGTGAGTGGAAACCCGGGGCTGGCCGAGGCTCTGGACCCTGCCTGGGTGGTGTTTATGGGAGCAGCTGCCTCCAAACCTCTGCGATGGGTGTAGGGGGATTGCTGCACCCTCATCTCTTTTTTTTTTGCTGTAGGAATTTTGCTGGCCCGTGCAGGAGAGCTGCAGATGGTAGCAGAGGATGCAGAGCTCAGCTAGCCTGGGGCCTCATCCATCCATATCTATCTGCTCTGTATAATTCCTTATATCCCCATGTTAATTACTGATTTCATTATGGAGATCTCTCTCCAGCTAATCCCAAACTGGGTTACTCCTCAAAATCTGGGGTTTCTGGAAACTGCACTGGGCACGTCCAGCAGTGTGGTGGTGAGCCCAGTTCACAGCCTTGAACACTGGGCTGCCTGTTGGGCTTCCCAGCCCTGGTTTGGCAGCCTGGATGGTGCCCCACAGTTGTCATCCAGCACTGAGGAAACCTTCTGCAGGCTGTTTTACAGGAAAGGCAACAAAATCCAGCAGTTTGGCCAGGGTGGTGTGGAAAGGTATGAGCAGAGCCAAGCATTAGACTTTATTTTTCCACATTTGGTGTATTAGCTAATGTAGAAATGGAGAAGAAAAACAAAAGGCCAGGCAAGGAACCACCTTGAAACCTATGAGCAGCAGCTGGACGTGGTGTGCTTGCTTTGATCTTCCTGCAGTTATCTCTCTTGTCTCCCTTTTCTGTTCTTTCATCCTTGCTTCTGCTCGGGTTAGGAAGGCTCCCCTCCCCTCAGGACACAGAAAATCCTGCCTGGCATCCTAAAAATGCTGTTTCCAGATGATTGCAACCTACAGCTGCTGCACAGGGATCGCTGCTGAGTTACAGCTGGCTCTGGAGTGCATCAGAAGAAGTGAATTTTTCAAAGCCCAGCAGCCCCACCAAAGAGTTCAGGGACAAAAGAGGGAAGTGCAAAACAGGCAGAATACAGACAAGGGCAGAGCAGCAAGTTTTCCAAAGGGATTCATTTTGCTGGATGGTGTCAGAGAAGCGTTTTCACTGGTGTTATCCCCACCAGGGGGTTAAACTGAACCCTTGTGGTACAGACTGTTCAGTATTTGCCTTTGTGTTTGCTGGTTGAAGGAGCTGGAGGTGGAGGATTCAAGTCTTAAACCAACCATGTCGTGCTGAGGAGCATGGCACTGCCCAGGGGCTGCTCCATCCTGCATCACAGCCCTTTGCCACTTTGCTTGCAGCTTTTTTTGGGGTGAAATCTTGTTTGAAGGCTGGGGAAGCATAAAGCCTGTGCTCCCTGGCTAGTTCCCCTGCATCCTTCAAGGACTGTTGGAAAACTGAGAGCCTCAGGAGGAGTTCTTGGAGCAGTGCTTCCTGAGCCAGGGTGTTGGGAGTGGAGCTAAAACCTTTAGTTCCTTCTTGCTTATGTGTTTTTTTGGCCTACAAACGATGTGTTTTGCTGGCCAGGACTCTGTCCTGCCCATTGCTCCATGGTTAGGGTGTTTTCTTGGAAGGTGGGAGGCTTAAAACTGCAGCTGAGCCAACACTGTGAGTCCTGGTAGTGTAGTAATGAGCCAGGATCATCACTCCTGTCCTGGTGGTGGAGAAAGGATGCTCTTACCTTCCCCTGCTGCCAGCCCCTCAGTCCTACCTGTCCCTGGGACCCTTCAGGATCAGTTCATGCAGGTTCAGCTGCTTTGTGGGCAGGCCCAGCCTTGTGCTGGCCAAGGAGGAAGGAGAAGAGGGACCTCCTGGGCTGGGGAGGGGCAGAGGCCCTCCCTCAGGCAGAGGTTCAGCTCCCTCAGTGGGAGCTGAGCATTTGCAGCAGCTGACTGACATGGAAAAACCCTGTTGTGTGAAGGAGCAGGAGGCCACCAGAGAGCTGCTCGTGACTGAGGAGTTAAATACCCTTCAGTTAAGGAAAAAAATGCCAAATTTAACAGCACTGCCCTGAAGAGCCAGTCAGTTTTCCCTGGGCATCACCACCACGTGCATGGTGTCATCCTGGGGGAGCCACGATTTCACTGGGTAGTGAGCAGCTGAGGAGTCCAAGCTAGTTCCCATTGGCCCAGCAATTAACAAACCCCTCATCTCCTTGAGAGATCTCTGTGCTCATTTAGAGCTAGGGGATGATTTTATGAAATCCTGGAGTTGGAGCTGGGCTTTCTCACCATCATGACTCTTTTAGCTTCAGCTAAAAAGCTTCAGCTGCTTTTCCCCCTCTTCCTTATTGTTCCCATTTGCCTTTTCCAATAAAAGCTGAGTTCAGGCTCTGTCCTGAGTCCTGGTGAGCTCTGGCCTTGCTCGCAGGGTTGGATCTGGCAGAGCTCTGCCCTGCTCAGGGAGACCTTAGAGGCCTGTCCCTGGGGATCCTGAGATCCTTTTGCATCTTGGAAAGCCAAAAGCCATGCTGCAGCTCTCTGTACAAAGGGAAACCCCAATTTTCTCAACCCAGCTCAGGCATGCTGGAGCTTTTGCAGCAGTCAGCCCATGGGGAGGTTGCGTGGAGGCACCTGTGTTGCTCAGAGTGGGGGTTCAAGGGGGTGATGAGGAAGGAAGGTAGGTGGGAAGTGCTGCTGCTGCTACTTTCCATCCTGACAGGCTCCTGTCACCCTGGGATTAGAGCAGCACATTTCTGCTGCATCCCTTTGATGTTCCTGCACTGCAGGGGACAGCTGCTGGCTGTAGATCTGGTGGCAGATGTCCCTGCTCCCTGCAGGGGGGTTGGACTCGATGACCTTTCAAGGTCCCTTCCCCTCCAAACCACTACAGAATGGTTTATATAAATCCTGGAGTGGGAGCTGGTGTGATGTGATGGAGGAGGGGCTGGATGTGGACATCCATTGACCCAAGCCACCTCCTAAACTGTAGGAGGCACTGGTGGGGACCAGGAAGGTTCTCCCATCACCTCTCCTCATTCTGCTTGGCAGCTGAAGCACCACTCTGCTTGCAACAGGACAGTGGATTGTGAAACTCTTGCATCTCCCAGGGCCTGGAGGACACGGGGGTGCTGGGGTGTGTCCCCCTGAGCTGAGGGCACCTCTGCTGAGGGCTGTGGGGTTAGCTGAGGCAGTTGGTCCTGCCTCGTGGGCCACCCCAAGTAACAGAGGCTTGTTTTTCTCTCCCCCTCCCCAGACATGCTGTCTGTATCTTCTATCTAGTGCTGCGTGCCCTGGACACTATAGAGGATGACATGACCATCAGCCTGGATGTCAAGGTCCCCATGCTGCACGAGTTCCACTCCTTCCTCTACCAACCAGAGTGGAAATACACAGAGAGCAAGGAGAAGGACAGGCAGGTGCTCGAGGACTTCCCCACGGTGAGACCTCCACCCCTTTGCTTCAACTGCCTGGGGTCACCTTTCTGTGCAGGGTTGTCCCCCCAGGTGACACCTGAGCTTGTTCAGTCCCTGCTGAGCCTGTAGCTC